CATGACATATGACAAAGCATGGCAACCTTGCTTCCTTGATGTTGGCAGCAACTTATGGTCTCTTTCCCACATTAGGGTTTTTATCCAAAAGTAGCTGTTTCCGTGTGGCTTCATCCGCATGAAATTATGAACATTTTATTTTATTGTTTACATTTGTCAAATTATCAATAGCAAATGTCAAAATGACATGACATAACAAACCTTGGCAAACTTGCTTCCTTGATGTTGGCAGCAACTTATGGTCTCTTTCCTACATTAGGGTTTTTATCCAAAATATTTTAAAGCGTGACGTAAGTGTAGGGATTTTTATTAAAAGAGAGAATTATTCAAAAATATACTGTAATTGCTGACATCTTAGGTAACAAAGAAGTGTGTGTTTACGCTTCATTATAATACTATTTAGGTACTACACTCCCATCAACATATCTCAGTGTAGCGATTTGTTTACTCACAGTTGCGATCTCAGCACAGTACATTGGCGATATAGTGAAGAGCATGCCCACGGCGATACCCCAGAATATCCTGCCGGCGTACAGGTAGCCCACATTCTTGGCCACGGCGACTAGAATCCAGCCCACGAAGAGTGGGATGGCGGAACTCATAAGACCCCATTTACGACCTATCTTGGATGCCGCTAGACCACCGATGAAGGGACCTGTTGAATTATGTCATATTAATACTATATATGTGCAGGTTGCTTTACGATGTTTTCCTTCACCGTAAGAACGTCGGGTAAATTATGTACGTTTAAAAATTTTGAAAAATCGAAAATCACATTGGTACGTGGTTGACTATGGCCTAGTCACCACTTATAAGGGCAGGCTCCGAGCCCCTCGGTGGGGACGCACAGTGAGCTGGTGATGATGATGATCAATATTATATACAAACTAGCTGTTCCCGTGCGGCTTCATCCGCATGAAATTATAAAAACTTTATTTCATTGTTTACATTTGTCAAATTCTCAATTGCAAATGTCAAAATTCAAATGCACAAATGACAACTAAGGCCTTTGACATTAATAAATTTGTTCAGTAATGTTGGCAGTTTGTAGTTTATGGTCCCGTTCCGACATATGCATTTATGCCGATCCTCCGTAGGGACAAGGGCAAGTTAATGATGATAATACTCGATTTATAAATGGTATGAAAAACTTACCGAATATAGCACCAACGGGTAACAATGAGCCGACCCACGCTAACTCTTCCGGCGCGAGCCCTTCATCTAGCGGTGAATCCGTCGCATTCTTGTCTTGCAGTTTTATGTTGATTGGAGACGTCCATCCCATGGAATATCCAGTGGACGCGATCGCAATGTTCGCTGTTAAAGATATAATTTAATTGACACAAATCTAGATTATTCTACGACTAGCTATCACCCGCAACTCCGTTTGTTTGGAAATAAAAAAAACAAAAGTGAGTAACATATGTGTTCTTCAAAACTATCCCCTACATCTATACTAAATTTAATCGAAATCCGTTTAGGCTACAAACTCTAACAAACATCCATCTATCTAAACTTTCGCATTTATAATATTAGTATGATAAGAGGCGG